ATATATAGCTACTTACAATTGATTACGTTTGAATTCGTGCCTGAAAAGCATAATTTGAAGCCACTAAGCCTTTTTCAATTGTAGAGGCAACACACAAAGTCAGGATTTATACCGGTTTAAATTAATTTTGGGCTCCTAAATGCACAATTTCTAAGCCAGACTCATATCCCGTATGTCGATGTCAACAGGAAGAAGACTGCACCTCCGACAGTCCGTCCGTGGGCACTTGGTCTGTCCTAGAATGTGGGGACAATATTCTGAGTCCGGAATTGGGTGAGGAGTGCGACTCCAACCTCGGGACAAACGAGACCTTCTACTGCCGTAACAACTGCAAACTGGTCCAGAACCAATGTGGCGATGGCGTGGTGTACGATGATGAAGAGTGTGATTATGACTCCGGAGTTAATACCTTCAAAGGTAAATGCGCTTAACATCACTTCCTGTGGTCCATGCCAGTCTGTAGTTTCTTCTGTACACTTTCGATATCATGTTGTGTGTGTTGGAGTGTCTCGTCCCTTCGCTCTATGTATTTGGCGGTATTTTGTGCTTCCTGTGCATGTCAGGTATGTCTCCATAGTGTGTATTTACACTGTCACATTCTTTTGAGACTTCCTTGGACGCACGTGGCACTTGGTACAGTACTGGACACTGTACAAAGCGATGCTGGTCTGGTCAAGTCCAAATCACTCCCAAAACAAGCTGGGCTCACGACTTATCTACATCGTAAACCCTGTAACCCTAGAATTATTTATATGCTTAAAAACAATGAGCTCTTGCCAACTAGGTCGACTATTCACCAGCACTCCCACCATAGCCTATTTTAGCTCAACCCTGAACCCTAATACCGAAAACCCTTAACCATTAACACCCTAAACTCCTAAAACAACCTGTTGTATCATTCAATACAGACACCACAATAGACCCGGATACCAACCGATGCGTACAGAATGGAGAGTCTGGCACTCCCTGCACAGTAGAACACACCGTGTGCGGAGATAACATAAAAACCGACAACGAGCAGTGCGAGGAGAAGGGCGATGGCTCAGGTGATATACTACCAGACAACAAGAACGACGACTCGTACTGTGACGATGATTGCAAACTACAGCCGATTATTGATTGTAGTGTAGGTATACGTTTCATGTTTGAATAATGGAGTATATTATATAAATTTATATAAATATGTATAATTGTATACGTATACATATATATATATGTATATGTATATATGTACATATGTAAGTATGCATATATATATATATATATATATGCATATGTCATGTGCAAGGTCTGCGGGACAAAATATCGCTCTGGTCGACAGTGGACAATAAAAAAAAGTCCTAAACCATGAACCCTAGTACACTTACGGTGCAGATATATAGTCCGTCTACTCATTAATAGCTGCCGAGTTTCACGCCTGAGAGCGTGAGCTGCGTCTTCACTTGATGAAACATTGTCTGTCACTGCTCGTACGAGAACAGATGCTAGCTCTGTGTAGACTATGGCTTGCCGTGATGGTAATTTTAGACATCTGATACTTATGACCCATTGAAAGCTGTGTACATCAGTTCGGTACGCTTTAGACTGTCGATTTAGTACTTGGCAAGCCTATATGAAGCACAGTCTTCGGGAAACAGAAACAAACAATACTTTTTTCTCCGTGAACTTTCTTATGTGTTCATACGGAGATACCATACAAGCCAAATAGTATAGACTGACATAACACCTTTAATCACTGCTACATGACAAACACATGCTCCTCTCGGCCAATGCAGGACACTCAAAACAGAGTGTGTAACTGCCAAGTGAATCAGTACACGACTACCTACACGCGAACTACAGTCAAGAGCGAACGCGGAGAGGATTGTAAAGATGCCAACGGCAACATTATTGCTTTTGAGTATGTGCCGTACCGGTTATGAGGATATATGTTTGTTTTTTATGTCGATTTATCTTATGTGTATTTGTATGTTTCAAATTGCGTATACGGGACATGCATATATGGATTTGTACGTATAGGCTGACAAACGATTTATGTACTTAACGTTTTGTCGTTCATGATTTCTGAAATGTATATTGCTATTTGCTGCGACCGAACTGATCGCTACCTACAGTTGTACCGCTCTCGTTCAACGAACGTTTTGTATTCACTAATTACTCATGCCATGTAGTTTTAAAAAGAAGTCATCTGTCTATTGTCTCTAGTATGATTGATATATCCATGATGTCCTCGTATACCTGATAATTCTGTCTGATAATTTCTAATGTTGTTTGTGTCTTCGTTCCCAGCGACAACGAACAAGCCGTCGTAACCAACGATGGAGACTGCGTCTGTGCATGTGGCAACGGAATAGTCGACTACGGCAACGGCGAGTCCTGCGATCTCGGCAAAGATTCGGTAAGTGCACAGAACACTGTAACGGAGAAGGCACCCTCTCCTCCCCCCCTCTCCCAGTAAATATATACGAACGGGAAGAACCAAACAACATCAATACAGAATTGGTTATACACGTACAAGGAAAGAAAAATTGTGTCAGAGTCATGTACTGCTCGATGTACCCTAAATCCTAACCCGATCTCGGAAGATGTGTTTAAAGAGAACCCCAAACCCCCTAAGACCCTAAAACCTTAAACAAATCATGTACTGCACTCGTGTAACCAATCTCGGAAAAAAAATGTTTCAGGCCAAAACCTTAAAACCTTAATACCTTAATACCTAAAACCAATTCATGTACTTCACCGATTGAACCGATCCCGACAGATAATAAGCGACACCGTGGTGTGCGAAGACTGCAAAGTCGTCGATTCCAGATGTGGTGACTACGAATTCGACGACATTCGTAACGAGGAGTGTGACCCGCCATACTCACAGAGTGGTGAAATCACTGAAAACCAGGAGTATTGTACCAACAACTGCAAGTAAGTGCCCTTGTACGAGGCAAGGATATATATATATGTATATATATAGTTATATATATA